CCACCTACCACTCTTGCAGCCACCTGCCCATCTACACATCTGCCTATTCACCTCCGTCCATCCTGCCACCTATTCATCCAGAATCCATTTAGAAAGCGTTTATTAATCACTTACTGTCTCTCTAGGCAGGTGAAGGTACAGAGCAAAACGAGACATAGTTTTTGCATTCAAGAACTTCATAGTCTAACGAAGGATTGTCACATGTAAAGAATGTGGCATCGTTCAACTGTTATAATAGAGCTGTGTTCACGGTGCCGTGGGAGGTCGTGGGGAGAGGAGAAAAGCTTCCTTCATGGAAAGGTGCAGCCACAGAGAGCACGGTTCGGGAAGGTCGTGATGTCCGTGTGCACGTGTGACCCTCTGGACTACAGTCGCGAGATCACGGTCCTGAGTCAGACAGACCTGGACTGACATTCTAGAACATTCCAGCTCTGCTCCTGAAGGACTTAGCTTCTCTTGTCTGTGAAAGGAGGCTAACAGCGCCCCCTTCTCGGGGTGTCTGGGAGGAGCAATGCAGGAAGAGCCACTGCACAGCCTTCTCTTCCGAGGCTGGTCCCTCAGCCTTCCCAGGCCTGGCCCCTGTTGATCCGAAACCAACTCTCGTTTTTCTAAGATGGTGGCAGTTGCTGTCTTGAAAGGAATCACGCCACAGTTGTTTCCTGAACGTACCAAATCAAGCTTGTTTTTGTCTTCCTCTGTGAGAAAGATGGCTTGCTCAATCCGTGTGACTTGAGCCCACATCTCTTGTCCTGAAAACCTGTCATCCTAGGGAGGCCTAGCGCCTACTTAGGAATGAGCCTCTCAGCTCCCTGCTCAGCTCCCCACTTGCATCCCTCAGACTGTCAGCCGTCCACAGAATCCCCCTGGAAGTGAACACCCAGCTCTTGGGTTGATGGCAGGTGGTCACACTGGGCAGTGAAGGGAAGAGGCAGAGTCACCCCGTCTCACCCCTCCCTGCTCCCTACACCTGGAGTCCCTTCGCCTTACCACGCATCTTATGTTTCGGTGCTGCGCGTTCTCCGTTTGTCTCCTGTGTTCATTTCCTGGGGCTGCTGTCACAAATTGCCACAGACCTGGTGGCTGACAACCACAGAAATTGGTTCTGTCACACTCCCGGAGGCCGGAAGTCCAAAATCAAGATGGCCCCCGGGCACGCCCCTCTGCAGGCTCCAGGGGCCGGTCCTTATTGCCTCTCCCAGCATCTGGTGACGCCAGGCGTTCTGTGGCTTGTGGCCGCGTCGCTTCAGCCTTGACCTCCATCTTCACATGGCCCTCTTCTCGCCTGTGATTCTGTCATACCTGTCTCGTGTAAGGACACTTGTCATTGGACTTCAGGCCCACCCAGATAATCTAGGATGATGTCATAAGATCCTTAACTTAATTACACTTGCAAAGACCCTTATTCCAGATAAGGCCGCGTTCACAAGCTCTGGTTTAGGACGTGGATGTGTCTTTGGGGGGCCGCCATTCAGCCCGCCACAGTTCCATTGGCTGACCCCGAGCTGTGATTTTTGTCCACAGCTCTGCTGGTCAGCACTGTGTGTCCTTGAGCCGGGCACAGAGAGGGTGTTGAGCGCGCTGCGCAGTGATTCAGTGTGAACAATCTCATGATCGCTCCTTTCCTAAATTTGTTGTAATTTTTTTCTCTGTAAACATAGCACATATTCAGTGAGGGAAACGTGGAAAGTGCTAGAAAGCAGAGATTGGCAAATGGAACCCAGGAGACTGTTTTTGTCTGGCCCATGGGTTGAGAATGGTTTTTACATCTTTAAAAGATTGTAAAAATAGAATATGTGACAGAGCCCTCGTGTGGCCTGCAAATCCTAAAATATGTATCTGGCCCTTTCTGGAAAAGCTTGCCAACTCCAGCTCCTAAGTATAAAAAGGAAACCACGGAAACCCCTCCCATCACTCAACAGCAGACGATCATTCACTCGGCCTATTGGTTCCCCCTGCGTGCCTGACCCTGGCGGTGCGGGGGCACGAACGTGGCCCCACTCCTGTTTCTTGGATCTTGGCATATGTTGTAGCCTTTTGCTTTATACATTTTCGTTTT